CCCCCCCCCCCCCCCCTCGCCCCCATATTGCCCCTCCTCCCCCCGTCGCCTGGGCTGGTGTTCGGACGCTGCGTGCCCCCGGATCGCGGGCCCTCAGGGCCGCATTTCTCCCCTTGCTACCCCTGTGTGTTGCGGGAGGACGTTTCAAACTCCTGGGAAGGATGTTCCCCCTCCGGACCCCCAGCAAGCCACCGGGCGCAGGCCACGCCGGGACCTCCTGCGTTGGACCCTGCACCACTCCACCCGGGGGCGCCCGATCTTGGCGCATGGCCCGACGCCGTGTTTTCCGGCCACAGAGGCCCGGCCCCGGGGCGTGCGACCGTGTTGCGAGCCGAAACAGCCCGACCCGGCCGAAGCGTTGGCATGTCGCTATGTGCCGAAAGGGTCTGGCCTCTCTCTCCGGGCACCACGCCGGCCCCGGCTCTCAGGGGGGGCGGATGGCGGAGTTGAAAAATACCTTGCACCGGGCGGCCACGGAGCGGGCTCGCTGGAACCAACATCCGCAGGCGACCCCGGCCCGAGGGGTGTCGTGGCGGGGGCCCGGCGCAGGCAGGCAGGCGGGGCCCGGACCTAAGGCGGGGAAAAGGCCGCCCCCTCCCGGCGCAGATGGCTGTCCACAGGCCAAATGCAATTCCCCTCCCTGCCCTAGTGGCCTGCACACTTTGTCCCCTCTCCCCCCCCCCCCCCCCCTCGCCGCTCTTGCCCGGGCTCGGCCCCACGCCCGCCCTTGCTTCTGCCTTGCCCCTCCAGCCACCGGGGCCCGGGAAGGTTATGGCACCCCTGCGGCCATCCTGGCGGCGCCGGTCGCCGGCCATCCTGGTGGCCCTCTCATGGCTTGTCCTTCTTTTTGCCGGGCCCGCACGGGCCCAGGACCTGGTGCTGTATTCGGCCCCGCATCCGGCCCTGTCGACTGACAAGGTGCCCGTGCTTGTGCCCTTTGTGGGAGTACCATCCTCGGCCAGTGTCTTCGGCGTGGACAATGCCTTCCACTTCCACGAGCAGAATCTCCCCGTGAACAACAGCCCCGAAATCCGGTGGGGATCCTTCTTCGCGGCGGTGCGGTTCTACATGAACCGGGGGCGAAGCACCGACATCTCGGGCTCCCGGGTGATGCTCATCCACCAATCGAGCGGGTCGATTCCGATGGCCGTCGAGCACAGCCGGAGCATGGTCGCAATGTACACCTCGAGTGTGGAGCACTCGCTGCCGGGGCCGCAGACCGAGTTGCTGGCCGGCGTTGTGTCCAGCTCCAACAGCGCGGATGTCCTCGGTTTGACTGGCTCGGGGAGCACCGATCGCTCGGTCTTCCTGGGCACGCTCAGCCACTCGTCGCTGACCCCCCTGTCGCATGATGTCCCCTCGATCGACGGGCCGGCAATGGCGGTGCCCGGCGTCGGCCGGTCCTTCTACTTGGCCTGGCTCAGGCACCTTTTGCACATCAGCCACCAGGGGTCTGGCTATTCCACAGGCCCGACCCTGAACTTCAGTGGTGCCGTCGTGCAGATGGCCGCCACCCGGGTGAAATCCCCGGCCAGTACGTGCTCCGATGCGGCGGATGTGGTTCTCATCCAGGACAATCGTGTCCTGTCGGTGTTGGTCTGTCACGGCGTCGCCCCCACCGAGAGTCTGGTGGAGATGTTGCTGCCGAGTGGGTTGCCTCTGGCAGGAGTTCGAATTCTGGCGGCGCCAGCCTCCACCATGAACCAGGGGGTGTCTCCTTTCTATTTGGTCTTTCCCCAAGCGCCGGATCCGCGGGATCGCCTCTGGGAGATCACCATCCCGGTGGAGGACCTTGTCTGGCGCCGGGTCCTGCTGCCTCCGAGAGTGGTCCAAGTGGCTGACATGCAGCTTGGGCGCTTTGCTTTGCACTCGGCCCCGGCCCCATGGCGCCTGATGGACCGGACCAACACCGTGCTCCTGGAGCCGGGCGATATGGGCTGCCAGCTTGATGAAAGCATTGTGTGCGACACGGCGGACCAGGTGACCGGCGCGCCGGGCGGGTGGCTTTGTGCCCCGGGCCAGGTCGAGTCGCCGTATGTCTCGTCGAGGCACCTGTGTGCCGGGTGCGCCGATGGCCGGTTCCTGAAACGGTCGCGCAGTATGTCCACCCCGAGGGTCACATCCATTCACCATGTGCCTGACGTATGCGCCCTTGGCCATGGGGGGCGGGGG